CTGCCTGCTGTCAGATGAGTACTTACTGTTAATACTTATTAGTATTAATCCCATTCTTCTTGCACTGGCCCATTTATTGTCGTTATTGTTGTGGGACGTGTAAAAGTGCTTTTTTTAAGCCTATTTACAGAAATAAATGAGTTTTATTAGAATCTCTAAACAAAATAAAACAAACATTTTACAAAAACTGAATTTCTGATGTCCCTGTAAACTCCATGCAATCAATAAGTAGAGTTTTCTAGGTACATTAGGAGGGAAAAACGTAGAGTTGCCGAAAAACTTTTGTAATTTTTCAAGATTTTTGGATTCTTTTGGCTACAAAATGACGGTACACGCGGTGTTACTTGTGCCTACTGGCATTACTGGCTTATTAAGTTTTCAATTTCGATGGACATACTTTTATCTTTAAATTATTTCATGTTAAAGCTTTTTACTTGTATGAAATTCTAATTAGTGATCTAAGCGTTTAATCTTTCTAAACTTTGCACTGCGTTCCTCCTTGCTTGCTATGTATTTTAAGACATTTATATTCATTAATTTGTTTGTTACATGTAGGATAAAAATGTAAGAAATGTCTACTCTTGCTAGAGCAGTATTCCATACGCTCTACATACAATAATTTATTTAATTTTTTATTTAGTAGGTATTTAAATAAAATAGCACATAGGTCTTCAAACCGTGACAAGGATGCGATACGTTTGCGCACCCGTCTGGTGTTTGCCATCATATTTATTGTCTCTGAAATTATATTAAACAGAGTGTGTCTAGAACAAACAGTCGGCATTGTGAGTGAACACTTGTGTAATGATACTAATGATATCACAATACTTATTATTATGCGCGGTAAAACCCGCAAGGACGACTCCGTTGCCGTGCAAGTACTTACTTAGTAATGTGCAACGGATAACGGAGTTTTAATATAGAATTTTATGTATTTAAAAGTTAAGCTTCATTGCAAGTCTCTTTTGGTGGGCAGATTTAGAGCCGTTCACTTGTAATTGGATCAGAGTGGTAATCGAAAAAAGTGTTTTTATTAAGGTACGATTTCAGCATACCGCTGAAAACATTTGAACATTTAGAATCCGAGTAAATATATCCTTATCATAGATAAGAAGAAGTAACTTTCTGTGAGTGAGTAGGGTGAAATTACTAGGGCACGAACAGAAGCCAGTTTTCAGTTACCCTGAAACTTCTTATTCCTTAGATATTTATAAAATTTCCTTGTAAATAACTTTTAAATAACCAGCATTTCAACTAATAGTATTTCCTATCTATGCATTTATACAACTTATAAACTCATAGCAAACTAAATGATAGAATTTGAATTTTATCTTTATCTTCGCATATCTCAATGGGTTTATTTCGTTAACTAATTCGGGTACATTACGTAGACAATTACTACACACGTCCAGTTCGCAACGCCCAGTCCCAGCAATTATTGTGTTACCAATCAAATTACAGGCTTCTATGACTCTATGTGAACTGAAACGATGCAAACACTTTAGCTTGATTGCTGTAATTTAATCAAATAACTTTATGAAACGTGTGCTTGGAAGGTTTTGATTCAAAGTGTGATAAACATGCACTAGAAGATGTACTAATTATTAAATTATTATCATGGTGGAGAGCATATCGAAGCATACATTTTTTGCTACATAAAACCTATTGAAACCACATTTACCATAATGTTTAGTTTGATCTATGCCTTCTAAAACCACGAATTCGACGTTGGACAATCGAGTAGAGCCAATTTTGATGAATTCCTTTCCAAATGTTTCGAATACGAATCGCACTCTATACAATACTTGCAAACTTACATTCGTTAGCTATGGTTAAAGGTATAATATAATAGTATAATATAAACTTCGATTCGGTAATTGGATACTGTTCAAAAGTAGACAACGTATGAATTCAAAGATCACGATCTCGGAATTGATTGTTACATTGACTTATGGCGATTTGTAGATTCATCACCACGGAAATTTAATTTGTTGTTGCTATTGTCATACCCATTGACATGCAAAAGCGAGAGGTCAATTAAAGCCATGTTACTTATTCATATTCTAGGAGTCTGTAATCATTTTCCTCGTATGACTTTACTAGAGCGCCAGTTTGTCATCGGGTTAGTCATATTCGAAATCATTAGAAGCCTAGTTAAGATGTACATTGAACCTACTAGTGATTGATGAGTCAAATCGGATGCTGTCAACCTGCAGTTACATTAACGACCAAAGGTTTTTCGTGAAAAAAAATAATAGGTATTTTTACTAAGTATGTTTACGTTGTTTCAAGTTGACTATGGTTAATAATTTAAACCATTTCTTTAATGATCTTTAGAATAATTATGCATATTAACAAAACTCATCCTTTACATTTTAACATTTATAAAAGTATATCAAACAAATCAAAATGTCTGAAAAAGTGAAGCTATAACTTTCTTGCTTCATTGATTTTCTTAAAAACAAAAGCAAGTAGTGCAATGTCAAATACTGGACAGTTAAATTATGAAACACATGACATACCTACCTACATCGTTACAGAATACAGTTTTATGGCCAGTAAACAAATGAACGTCGTATCAATGCCCCAATAAATCGCCTCTGATGGGAACGAGGTTTAGCGGAGAGCAATTAAAATATTCGATTTATTCGTACGCTTTTCCATTTATTTGTTCGAGTCCGATCGGCGCGGTTGTTAATCGAGTTGGAATATTCATGTTTTAAAATAAAACGTTGAAAAAGTTTTCCTTGGATGGTTAAATTGCGAGTTGCGACCCAAATTAGTATTTCGAAGTGTGCCAACAGCTCCCTTGCTATGTATAGGTTACTTATTTTTGCTACGTTATACCAGTTATACAAACAACTACGTTATACATCTAGTTTAAAAAAAATCAATTTGTATTCCATTTTCCTAATCTCTTACGTGCAGTGGAAATTCTCAAACATCATATTTTTATCATTGAACTACATACCTACCTACCTACATACCTACTATGTTACGAATGTACTTTTAATAGTGATGACAGAATAAAATAATCACATAATAATTTTTAATAATACACATAAAATATAAATTCAATATAATTAAAGTCCAAATTACAGTTTTACAAACATGACCAAAGTACAATTGCGAAGAAAAGTCGCCGCCCAAACTGGTCCGGACTCTGGAATAATCGCAAAACCAGAAATAGCGTAACCGCCGTATGACGTCACGCAAGATGGCGCTCGTGTGGAGTTAGGTAAAGTGCACTGACCTCGCCAATGTTAATGTCAGCTGCTGAGCCATTGACGACTATTTACGAGCTGGGCGTGCGAGGCTCCTTAACTGCTAAGTAAGCTGTTGAACGCGTTTACGTGAAATGAACGAAATGTTTATTAACTGTTTCGGGACATGAGTGATGTTGTTTAGTTTACAAGTCATCAGTTCTGTTCTTAATTTAGCTGGATCTATTGGTTTCCAGCTTGCTCTACTCGAGAGGAACGTTGGGGTTTCAATTCTTGAATTATATTTGTAGTAGGTACCTAGGCAGTGAAGCAAACCATATCCATAAATTATTTCAGATCATCTGATTAGCTTAAGGGAGCCAAAACATGTATGAAAGTAAAACATTAGCATAATATTAAATCAATTGTTAATGGAATCAATGAATCATAAAAAACTCGGTCAAGACGAGTAGGTAAACCGAGGTTCAACAGATTTTTTCAGTCTTCGCTTTGTCAGAACATCTTATGAGGTTGCTCATACTTAGAGAAAGAAAGAAAGAAAGAAAGAAAGAAAGAAAGTAAGAAAGAAAAAAAACATTTAGATATTGCTTTTCCATTATCTTTTTAACGGCACAAGCCTCTCTTTTTCACTCTTACTATTTACCTTGTCCACTTACCTTGAAGCATAAGCTAGATTATAATTTAAGCCCCAGACTTTTTAGTCGTGAAAACTGAAGGACTCGAGATTGTATCTTGTATCTTCGGGCTAAGCCGAGCGCATTGTTCGCCGAGAGCGCAGTCAAGCGCACTTTATTATATTCGCCACGTTCGTAACAATGCACTAGAGCGGTACACTGCAGCGCAAAAGTGTTATAGTCGCTGTGAAAAATTGAGCATTTCCAGCAAAAGCTGGAATATTCTGTCTTATTCGGTGCTGGTGCGGGTTTGCTTTTTATTAGAGAAAGCAGCTGCGATTTTATATTTTCTTCGAGAAATAAGAAAAAGGTTTCTACCTAACAGAAGCAGGAGAGCAGATACATTTTTGGTTTAACATTCCTATTTTATAATCAACATCTTTATAAAAAAAAATAACCGGGTTGCATGGGATACTGACGTCCATAGTGTCACTTATGTATAATTAAATCAATCTCTATCGAATGAAAGCGGCAACCGTCTCCCTTTACTTACATCCGATATCTGTACTTACTTGTTAAATCTTCAAAGTACCTACTCAGTTTCAGTCCATGATTTCAAAACGTTTGGTGTTCGTTGTATTTTTTATGCATATGTATAGGCTGTGTTAGCCCAGCTTTCGTTCTCATAAGTCCGCGTCCAAAGGGAAGTCGTTAACTGCTCGGATCAGTTACGCGGCGCCCGCGCACTACATCTCGCCATTGTGCCGCTCACTCTCCGAACTTCGCGTGATCCGTCAGGGCTACTGATTTATCGGACGGAGATATCACCTATTGTTGGGGTGGCACTTAGAACGGCCAGAATATTTGGCATGCTTGCTTAGAGAGCATATGGCTATTATCTAGCTGGACTGTTCAATTGGTCTCAGGCACGATGAAAAAACGAAGACAAAATGTGCAAATAGCCAGTATAAAAATTGTTAGATAATTAGAGTTACGCAATGAGAAGATATCCCCAAAAGTGTAATAATTACAGTTTTTTTATAAGCCTTGTTACAAGTATTACCTAAGTCTTTGTAATAATCTATTAATTTTCTCAGCATTGCGAAACAATTTTGCTAATTATTTGATTAAATTACTCAAAGATTCTATTTCTTCTTTCCAGGATTCGAGATGAGGTGTCTGTGATCCAAGCCAGGCGTGAACGGCGCCACCATGACCTCCGAGCGAGCCATCCCTCACCTCCGGGACATCTTCGGGCTCAACCAGCAGTACGAGACCAAGAGCTTCGACGACAATGACGACAAAACGAAGAAGTCGAAGAAGAAAAAGGACGACTACCGCTCGTACGCCAACGGCGACGTGAAAACGCTCGAACGACACCTCAGCATGAAGAAGACTATTCGGAAAAAGATCATGCGTGACCTTCAGCAGGCGTTCGTGGAAGACCCTAACGAGTTTAAGGTGGAGAACACGAGCCCGGAAAAGCTGAAGGCAGAGCTGAGTGCCGAAGCTGTGAAGATCGAGAAAAACGTGCGGAAGAACGACCCCACGTTCCTGGACATGTTGAGGGGGGAGACGAGGGGCGAGGAGGCGCGCGAGGAGCAGCCCCCCGCCGAGAAGACCAGCTTCTGGCGGCGTCTGACCATGAAGAACAAAAACAAGAGATAAACCAACTGAAGCCGGGCACGCACGTTACTCCCCCACATCCCCTGAATGTTGGATTCACGTGTTCTATGTCAATTGTATATGAATATTTAAAATGTCTATTGTACTGAATAACTACAGTTTATTGTGAGCTACACTTTGACTGATTGTAATGTAGCTGATAGATATAATTCCAAGCGGATTTGCTTTGTAAAGTGCTCCCACATGAAAGCAGGATACCAACGGACTCTACATTAAATTGTTGTCTTCATATTTGTCTATCAAAAACTAAACATCATTAACTACCTACCTACTTATTAATCAAGTCAAGATAAGACATTTAAAACCGGAACAGCTCAGTTAAATTATAGTTTTTATTTTGCATTGTAAATGTTTGGAAGGTGCTTGTAACAATTTTTTTGTTTGATCGAACAATGCCGTTTCTTGTTCAGTGTTTTTATTCCTCAATTTATGAAAAGCTTAGGTACCTAACCATAGCTGGGCATTAACTCGTTAATCCGTTAATCGTTAATTAACGAAGTTAACATTTCTATTAACGGATTAACTTTTAAGTTAACTTTAAAAAATGTTAACGGACTCGTTAACTTCCGTTAAATTATCCTAAGTCCGTTAATCGTTAATCCAGTACCTACTATTTACCAAAAACATACAGCAGACACGCTGCAAAACGCGTTCTGACAAGTACGTTCGGGCTTCCAGAACCCAAAACAACAGTTTTTGTAATCAGATTACCAACGCAACGATATAAAAATGCATTTTATTTATTTATTTACAACTGATTTTAAGACCAGTTTTCTTCAACCGATTGAGCTGAGTATACAGTTTATGTAAGTAGGTAGGTACGATGACAATCCAATGTTATGGTACCATTGAGCTGGTCTGATGATGGAGTCAGGAGGTGGCCATAGAAACTCCTAAATAAAACGGCGGAATCGCATCAAATTTGGGTTCGCTGGATTTGTCAATTTGAGCACTTTAGTACTAGATGATGTCCACTTGTCCAGGGTTCTGATGATGGAGTCAAGAGGTGGCCATAGGAATTCCTAAACGAAACGGTATAAACTTATCGAGTTTGGGTTTGTTGGATTTGTCTTTTCGAGCACTTTGGTGCTAAATTGTATTGTAATTGTACCAATGGCAAGGCTCTGAGATTGAGATACATCTAAAGTGTATAATAAAATTATAAAAAAAAGCTTTTATTCTGAAATGCAGTTGTACTAAAACGAAAAAAAAATAATTGTACCTACTTATGCAAGGTTCAAATAAGTTCGAAAGCCTGTAGCGCAAACATAAAAGAGGAATAAATTCCATGCGCGATACAAGATTTCGAAATCATTTGAACTTTGCATACAATATTTTTTTTCGTTTTATTATCCNATCCAGACACGCTTCTCGATTCTGCGATACGATTGGTCAAAACAGCTGACGTACGCTGTTGAACGACCAATCGTATCGCAGAATCGAGAAGCGTGTCTGGATTGGTGACGTTAAATATTACCGTAATCGGGGCTCTGGTCTACTTACATTGCTAGAGGGGATTGCCTGTCAGTTCCACTCCTGTTATTTCTGCTCTCTGTTATTATCACGTGTTAACGGATTAACGATTAACGTTAACTTGCGTTAAATCATCCGAAATGTAACGTTTTAACGTTTAACGAAGTTAAGTTTTTTAGTAACGGTTTAACGATTAACGAAGTTAACTATTTGATTAACGGTGCCCAGCTATGTACCTAACATTACCGAGTCTAGTATACTTACCTACTGAAAAATACGCCTGAAGACTTCGCTAAATTATTTCGCTAACTTTAGCCTTCCTGAAGTTAACAAAATTAACATTATATAACCTACATGGCCGGAGTTATCCTATCTAAAATTACAAAAATACAAATATTAAGCATTTTGAAAGATGATACTTCATTCTACTTCTCCCTNTTCTCCCCATTTACCAGGACATTATTAAAATCTTTCATGTGGCAGTCTTTACTCAATGCGAGCTGAAATACTATATTTAAATATAAGGTTAGCTAGTGATTCAATTTCTTGCTATAAATTTTATTATTACTAGTTGTAAGTCCGATGTGGGGGGGTAACGTGGTAACAATCGGCCATTGTTACTTAGACATAATAAATATCTCGATATAAATTGTGATTTACCGTTAAGTTGTGTAATTAAGATAGTTTAAGTCTTAGGTTAGGGCTAAAATACGGCAACTGTGTAAGGTAGGCGCAAGGCAATTCATTGTTGTGACAATTTATTACAATTCAATATACATAATTTTACACATTTAGCATTTGTTTATTTTACACAGTCCTTAGTTAGTTAAAATTTTGACGCAAAAAGTAATAAATAATAAATAACAATAGATAACAATTAATTTTAATAGATGACAATGATACTTAAAGAAAAATTGGTGAAAATATGAAAATGATAAGTACAGCAAACAGACAATAAAGAGTATCAACCTAATAAATAACCACATAAAAATCTTCAAAGAATTCCCACTCTAGTTCTGCCTTTATGTAGAGGTTTTTTCATATTTTTAGACATTGAATTAATAAAAGTCATATTATTAAGGTTCTGTAGTTATTATATTTTGGACAAAAGAGTAGTTATTATTTTTTGGACAAAAGAGTCCGTGACCGTAAGTAGAGCAAAGGCTATTTTTGCAAGAGGCGCCATCTATTGACCTATTCTATTACTTTTTTGTAGATATAATTTTGATGCTCTATCCCCAGAGTCGAAACCATTAACAATTTTCGGAAATGGGTAGTTCAATTTATAAAAATCAGACAACTTTAATAGATATTCCAATAGTAATCTACATAATGTTGCCAAACGAATGTTAACATAAGCCCGATCTTATGCACTCGCGGCAGAAAATGGAACTATTTGACAGTATGATGACATGAAGTGGCGGCCTCTACATTTCCTACCATATACATACCAACTAAGTACATTCCAAGAAGATACCAAGATAATTGGATAGAGGGCGCTGAATATACAAATCGATACCTTAATTTCGAACTCCTCCTATGATCTTCTGATTAATTTCGTTGCGGGTCAGGACAGTTTAACTTTCCCCCGGGACAAACTTGACCTTCATTGGTTGGGTTTTGTGGCGGTCAAGCTGTAGATCCTGGCTACACAGGAGTTGCAGTGGTGGAAACGAGAGGTGGGAATAGTCCCGTAAATCGATACGATTTTGTACGTGTAATAGATATAATTTTTATTAGCAAGTAATGAGATGTTTTCTGTTTCTTCTGGTATTTATTTCAGTACTTAATACTTAACTTACCCTTTCAGCAGTTGCTAAGTTGGTGTCATAACTTCTACTAACGCCATCTGTGCAAATCAAATTAAAATTTGCACAGGGTTTTAAAAGCGGGTCTGATTCTGCGTTACGCATTTTCTTAATGGCGGGGAAAAAATAAAAATAATTTTAATTAATATAAAAATCCTAAGTAGTCCATTAATTCATTTTTCCTTATTTAGAGCCATGTCCGTTTCGACTGCCTGGTCATTGTCATTTCCGAGAGGTTTTCTGAAGCTAAGTACCCGTAGATTTTTGAAAGTTGAAAAATAACGCTTGAGACAACGCTAAAAAAAACATGGTTTGCACAAAACATTTTTCCACTCAAAAAAAATGATTTCAGTGATAGGTCAGGTTTCCATTTAGGTTTTCCAAGTTAGGTTAGGTTATCCGAGTTAGGTTAAGTTTTCCGAGTTAGGTTAGGTTAGGTTTCATTTTAGGTTTTCAGTTAAGGTTTTCAGAATTAGGTAGGGTTAGGTTTTTTTTTAGCTTCCAGCAGGTTTGGTTTTCAATTAGGTTTTCAGAGTTATGTTAGGTTTTCAAGGTTAGGTTATGTTTTCCAAGTTAGGATAGGTTTTCCAAGATAGGTTAGGTTTTCCAAGTTAGGTTAGGTTTTCTAAGATAGGTTAGGTTTTCCAAGTTAGGTTAGGTTTTCCAAGTTAGGTTAGGTTTTCCAAGTTGTTAGGTTAAATTTTCAGAGGGTAGGTTTTCCGAGATAGGTTAGGTTAGGTTTACATTTAGGTTTTCAGTTATTTAAGGTTTTCAGGTTAGGTTAGGTTAGGATAGGTTAGGTTAGGTTTTCAGTTTTTTTTCAGCTTCCATTTTAGCAGGTTTGGTTTTCAATTAGGTTTTCATAGTTATGTTAGGTTTTCAAGGTTAGGTTAGGTTTTCCAACTTAGATTAGGTTTTCCAAGTTAGGCTAGGTTTTCCAAGTTAGTTAGGTTTGGTTTTCTAAGATAGGTTAGGTTTTCCAAGTTAGGTTAAGTTTTCCAAGTTAGATTAGGTTTGGTTTTCAATTAGGTTTTCAGTTAGGTTAGGTTTTAAAAAAAAAAAAAAAAGGTTTTCAAAGTTAAAAAGAAAAAAAAAAGTTTTTAAAGTTAGGTTTTCAAAGTTGGTTCAGGTTTCCAATTTTCGATGAGATTCCAATTTAGATTAGGTTTGACGAGTTAGGTTAGGTTTTCCAAGTTAGGTTAAGTTTCCAGCTAGGTTTTCAAAATTAGGTTAAGTTTTCCGAGTTAGGTTAGGTTAGGTTTCCATAATAGGTTTTGAGAGTTATGTTAGGTTTTCATAATTAGGTTAGATTTTTCAAGTCAGTTTGGGTTTTCAAAGTTACGTTGGTTTCCAGTTAAGTTTTCAGAGTTTAGGTTAGGTTTACCAAGTAAGGTTAGGTTTTCAAAGTAAGGTTTGGTTCCAGTTAGGTTTTCCAATGTTCGATGAGATTCCAATTTAGATTAGGTTTGACGAGTTAGGTTAGGTTTTCAAAGTTAGTTTAGATTTTCAAAGTAAGGGTAGGTTTTCCGAGTTAGGTTTGGTTTTCAATTAGGTTTTCAAAAATGCTAGGTTTTAAATTAAGTTAGGTTTCCAAGTTAGTGTAGGTTTTCAGTTAGGTTAGGTTTTCAAAGTTGGTCCAGGTTTTCAATGTTAGATGAGGTTTCAATTTAGATTTTCAGAGTTATTGTAGGTTTTTAGAGTTAGGTTAGGATAAGGTTTGGCGAGTTAGGTTAGGTTTTTAAAGTTAGGTTAAGTATCGAGGTAGGTTTTCAGAGTTATTCTAGGTTTTCAGTTAGGTTAGGTTTTCAAAGTTACTTTAGGTTTTCAAAGTAGGTTTTAGTTTTCAATGTTAGATAATAAGGTTTCATTACAGGTTTTCAGAGATATTTTAGGTTTTCAATGTTAGGTCAGGTTTCCAGTTAGGATAGATTGTCAGTGTAGGTTTAGATTTTCAGGGATGTGTCAGGTTTTCAGTTAGGGTTTAGTTTAGGGTTAGGTTTTACTTTAGTTATATTTTTAGAAAATGAGTTTTTCATAGAGTTCCGAACATCACGTTTTTGTCAATTTATTTTTTATAGTTTTGATCAATGTGATAAGTTTTTTGGGAAATTTGAATTTTTTTTTACCGTTACCCTTATCCTAGAATGATTAGTTAAGTTTTTCAAAAAGTTAGGATAGCTTTTTAGAGTTGAGCTTTAAGTATACGCATTAGGCAGGATTTACCTTGACCGGTGCGAGTCAGCTCGAGTCGCGTCCGTTCGGCTAAAAATGCGGTGGAATGCATGTACCATAGGTCATCAATCATCATTTTAAATTTACAAATACGCAGTTAACTTACTGAATTTTCTGAATCCTATAGAAAAAACTTACTTACTTTTTTATAACTGCATTTAAAAAGACTACATAACTATATACTTAACTTTTAGAAAAACTTAGGTACAGACCTAAGCTTGTGGTGTTCATTGCCATCTATTCTTCGACGTCGTATCAGAGATTAGAAAAAAAGTGGTTCTACTACAAGCCAGTTTACGGCGTTGTTCTTTTCTACGATACTGGCCAAGCAATCGAAACAAATACTGTTAAACTACTTACTAATAAAGGCCCTGATCAGTAAGTAATCAGTAAGTATGAGTATCATCATCTAGGAATCGAACCCGAGATTGATAGTTCAACTTTCATATCCAAAATCACAGGATCAAAGCAATGTCAATCTCAGCTCTGAAAATTATCACTCATAGTAAAATTAAGGAAATGAAAGGGGAGAAGGAACAATAAAACGTCAAAATTATGTTTAATAGCATTTATTTTTGTATTATGTATTTGGATTTGACATTTAGTTATGGATTTGTCACTGGGGAACTTGACGATTTATAATGAATTTATCTAACACAGGTATAAACTTACAACAATTTTGCATTGTCCTAAAAATAGTAGCTTTAATCAAAATTCCAATCCAGTTTCATTATTACGAGTTGACATTAATACAATCGAATTTCAGTTATTAGAACTATTTATAATTTGGGTAACAAACAAACTTGAATTCACCACTTAAAGATATTTTTATGATTCTGTACTTAGGTACCTTTAAAAAAATATGATACAACAAAAATAACCATGATTAAATTAATTATTTTTAAACAGCTCTTAAAACATAGCAGCATTTTGACCAGTAAATTGTCATTACAGTAACAATAATAATAAGTAAGTACATCAATAAATAATGTTAAATTACAATTTAAACCTTACAATACTCTAGATGCCAATTACGTATCATTACAATTTCTGTTCCCCAGTGTGATAGTGATGTTTTGGTAAAAATTTTGAAAATGTTCAAATTATTTTTCCGGATTTAACTTGCCGGATAAAGTTTTTAGTTGACTCTACCACCGGTTCGGAACCTACGCACTACTGAGAAGAACCGGCAAGAAACTCAGTAGAAGTGTTTAAATAGTTGTAACGACCTAACAGTTTTAATTATTTAGAAAAATATTACAATTTGGTTTAACTTTAAATTTTACATTGCATAAAAATTTAGTTATTATAAAGTTACAATATTTTAAACACATAATATTGACAAATATTATTATTTTTTTAATAATTATTTTTGTTTAGTGTCATTACAACCAGGAGTCTAATATGGCTGATGTTATCGCCATTGCTGGCTTACCATTAACAATATTAAACATTAAAACTTAAATACCCACTATTTTACTAATAGGTATTTTGGTCGTGTCATTTGTCCTTGTCGGGATTAATTAAACATTAATTTGTAATTACAAAGGTGGACAAAGTAATTTACAAACACTAAATCACAAACAAAATCATTTTATTGATAAATTACTTATGAAAAGTAACTAAGCAGTGTGCAATTTATGGACAATTACAATAAATATTACATTTGTGACAAAACATGTGTGGAGAAATTATATGAAGTCAAAATGTAATTAGTTAGTTTCACAAAAATACAATTCTCAAATCTTCTAATAAAAAATAACAATAACTGTGCCAAAATTTGAACGTCCTCGTCTTCTGTAATTTTGTTTCTTGTAATCCAAAATCTATTTCATCCTATCCTAAAACCTATCTAACAAAAACTTTATGTATGAATATCATGGTCCAATATTGCTAAGTACTAGCCATTGCTGACATTCCATTAACAATACTGAACTTTAAAAACTTAAATACCCATTATTTTACTAATAGGTATTTGCGTCGTGTCGTTTTATGTCCTCGTCGGGGTTAGTTTGCAAAGGGTGGGCACGTTAATTCACAAAAAAACTAACGTTTATTAAATCATAAACAAATGTAATAAACAATGGTTAATGGATATTGCTAAATAGCTTGTTTTACGCTTTGAAGATTAATATTTAGATGAGATTCTATTTATTTACTTCGACACAAAAACTAAGTATATTCACACAAGATTAGCCGTTATTTGTTAAATTCATTAGTGGCAATGAATTAATATTGCACAAATTATAAACATAGTAACAACAAATGTTTAATGCTAAATGCAAAGAAACTTAACAATATAATGCCCAAGCATAGTAAGGTACTCTGTGTCAAGCTTTAATTAAATTGCTCAAAGTTTGTATTTATTGAATAAATAAAAAAGGGACTTATTCTCCATGGTGAAGTTTTCACCAGTCCCATTCATCAACAGAGGACGTCCATGTCAGGTCTCTTAGGTCCTTGTAACAGTTTTTGACACCCTTATTTCTGCCCTAATACCTATCCTACTCTATCTAACCATCTATCACTAATGGCTTGATACGACCAAGCATTTAAGTTAAAACTTTATATATAGTTGTAATATAAGTATATAGTATCGTGACTAAACAACCAATGATTTCGGATGCTGCCATACTGGTCTGCAATCCGGTTTTGAGGACTTATTAATTACAAGCAATTACTTTATTTCATTTGTTTTGAAGGCTATAAATTTAAATGATTCAACCAGTATTCCCTCCACATTAGATGCAGAGTTATTTATTTGGTCTGCAGTAACTAATCAATTACAAGATTTAGCAGACAATTTATAAGTGATAAACTATTATATATTAATTTTAAAAATTAAAAAATAGCTAAGATCCTTGTTATTGATGTAGTTGTGCTTTGGATATTCAGGAATTAATATGTATGCAAGTCCTCAAAATAACTAAATATTAAGAAAATGGACAATCCAATATTGACGATGTTCTTGTCATTGCTGACGTGCCATTGTCAATATTTAATTTTAACAAAAGATACCACATGCACTCTCAGTAGGTATTTTTGTCGTGTCTTTGTCTATGTCAGGGTTAACTAGCAGGGGTGAAAAGTTAATTAATAAGAAAAATACTTATTAATTAAAATCTATTGCCAAACTACATAACACATCAATACTTATCACACAAGGGTATCAATAATGTAGGTAAGTAAAAAAATAAATAAACTTGCAAGGTAAAAAGGGGGCAGTTTTTAAGAAAAACGTTAATTTCTATTTAGAACTTATTCAGTTTACATGATTTGAATGGACTGCTCATAATAAAAGAGTAGTAATTAATTTGTGTTTCGTACAGTATTCGCCTCATTATTATTCATAAGTGTGTAATACTACTATTATGCTATCTCATACATTTACAGAATATTCTAGATAAATGTTCTTTCAAGGTTTTATAAAATTATGAAAAAATATTTAAATGTAACTATGTATTTTTCCTAGTTGGAATTCCAAACAAAATAATAATATCAAAGATTTGGGAATAAGGTTACTGTATTAAAATATATTAATAAAACAGAAAAAGATCTAAATTAAAATTGGTTTAATAACTGAAACATTTTACAATAATACCATTACGTATTTATGAATTTGCGTAAATTCCAATCAGAAAGTTTAAAAAAGTGATAATTACGAAAATAAAAATATTTAAAAAAGAGTAAAATAAATAGATTCTAGTGGTAATTTTAACAACAAAAAATAAATTACGTATTATAGATTGTTACACACTGATATAACTGTAGTGATGAGAAGTTAGATAGATTAAATTTCAAGCCGGTGCAATGACTATCGATAGAAGATTATAAGTAGTGTTTATATTAAATTGTTGTATCGCTCATTCCATTGATGAAAGAATATTTACTATAATAATATAATTGTGTATGTGAGATATATAAGTATCAAATATTGCAGTGTATTCTTATAACATTTAAGCAATGCGATTGCATTAATATTTGTTGCGTTATTTAGGTATATTATGTAGGTCTTATTACTAGTAACATAGTTAAGATAACTATGTTTGGAGATACCTTTTTCTCAGCCGTTTTAATTATATACGAATATATAATGTTAAACGTACTACTATTAATAACCTAATAATTATTGTATTATTGTAACTTAAGTCAAACCTGATATAATAATTTATAGTATGTATTGTTTTCAAATAGTCAAACACGGAATGCGATAAAAGCTTATAACTTTAAATATAAACTATGATAAGTTTAATAACTTCAGTTAATTCTAATGAATGTCATCGCCCGGAATTTGTTCTAAACTTACTATATATCTTCCCATATTTCATAAATATTACATAAAATATTTTTCCCGATGGTTACAGTATTTTGGTAATTAAGATAATATAAATGTGTTAGAGATTAATAATCCTAATGAATATTATATTATTGTCATTAAATACAATATTAAAATGAATTTTAAGTTATGAAAGCTAAGCATTACAATTACTAGTTTTTATTTAAAATAAAAAAAATGATGTTACTCTATTTATTTTTGGCGTAGGTATACTGCAAGTTTCCGGCCTGTACTCGACTATGCTGTAGTTTATTCGGTGCAAGATAAAAAGACCTCCCTAATACTCTGCTGTTGCAAAAAACCGTGATTGGTGACGCCACTTACAAATAAAGATCTGAAAATTAAATATCAAATAGTATTAAGTTTTTTTGTCTAGTCTAGTGTTACTAGTGATTGCAAAATTTTTCAAAATAAAAATATGATTTAAATTTTAATTGTTAATTAACTAATCGAAAACTCTATGCAAACTGAAAATTATGGTCAAATTGTGCTGATAAGCATTGAAGAGAGCAAAGACAATTTTTCACCTATACGTTTTACGTATGGCTAATAAATTTATCAAATTGCTCATAAATTTTATGTCTAATGAATTAGTTGGAAAAATTACGAGGATTATTAACTAATTAATACCTTGATACAAATTTGGGACGTAAAATACTAGATTTTACTAGAGAAGTCTGGTTCCATCGCCGTGGTCATTATATAGAGATGTTGTGAATTAATTAACGAATTCATTGTCAATGACTGGGGCACGTCAAAATTTGGGCAGCTCTATCGCGCTCTTTGCGCTTGCTCTATTAGGCCTTGTCTATCATTGATCTGCTCTATCATTGGGCCAGGCCTTAAGCCTTACTAACGGGGCGCCTCTAAGGTCATGTCGTTTGATGGTTACCGCGTCTGTAATGTTCGCATTCAAATTATAACAAATAATAAACAGGTCCTGAAAAATAATGATTTGATAAAATAAAACCTTTGCTGTCATAAACGTGCAGTAAAATAAATGGAGTTTTATGTTTGCGCATCCAATAATTTTGTCGATAAAAACAATAATAAAAACTTTTATTATGGATGTATAAAATACGAAATCTATTTTTATCCAAATTGCTTGAGAAGTCATCATAATTTAATTGCATACAAAATAAATATGTATTGCCAATGACTTAAATGAAAAAAAAAAAAAAGAATTAATTGGAATTGAATTATTAGTTAAAATGAAATAATCGTTAAAAGCGAAATATGAGTTTGCTATTCGATCAAATGTAGGTAGGTATACATTTGATTAAAGTGCAGTCGCACTAGTGTGCTTATTAATATCAATACTATCAATAACTAATCGAGACGTAACAAAACTCATCAAGTTATTATGTAAGTGCAAAATGAATAAGTTAATTATTTAAAAATTGTTACTCTTATTCTTTATTTATACCTTCTATTCAGATTTTGAGGACCTGAATTTCTTATGAGTTTTTTATTTCTTAGATGTTCATTTCTCCTTCGGTATTATTTGATAGAAATATAGCAACAAAAGGGTCTTAATTTGTGCCATAATTCTACGGAATGGGCCTGCCTTGTGTGTTTTAGATCCCGCATATTACGTGTTGGTGTGTTATACGTAGTTAACATTAAATTCCTGTTCCTGAAAAATAATGAAAATATGAATAATAATGTCTTAAATACCTTAATATATTATAGCTATATTTTCTTAGTTTTAATTACGTATTCTAAGTATATCTTTTTAGCTTTACTTTATATTAAAAAATAGAGCTACGGCCTTACGTCTAGGTTTGTTTATTTGTAGAAAACCTAGATTTATACCTTAACATATTAATAAAGTCAGGCATTCATATCGTTTCCTAATTCAATATTAAAAATACGTGTATTGTAAACTTTAGCCGAGCTATAGTCTACTTATGGGTAAATATAAAATAATATTCTAATTTAAAGTTTAAGTTAAGACTCCCCCAAATCACCAAAACCGTCGCATACGCCTACGCCTACCCTAACTGGTCATCGGCCATAATTATATTTATAGTGGTATATTTGTAATGTAACCTTGTTGGTGTACAAATAAATAAATAAATAAATTTCTACAGCTATCCTACTCTATTTAACATCCGACTAAATCTACCTGTATATTTTACAGAGGTTTAAACTGGCATTTGCGTTGCGATTGCAACTTACGCTACGTGGCAGAGTCACCAGAGTCTTTTTAGATGTTAGTAAGTAAATTATAATTTACAAATCATTCCTATTTATTTTGCTCCCCTTTGACCTTGACCTTGTTCCTAACTTAATAATTATGTTTTTAATATAATAAGATACATTTACTCTATTTTTTTCATATTATTTTTTAAATATTGTGTCTTAGTGTAAGTTACACTATTTACCTCATGAAATTCAAATTGCATGTTTTAATTATAATTATTATTCTCGTTTATTCTTAACCTTGTTTTTTGTTTAATTGATAACAATATAATTAATATTATTAATAATATTTCCGTCACAAATTCCTATTTTAAATTTATTTTAACCGTTCTTAGTCATAATAACCGTCCAACCGTAGTACAATATTGCTTTTTCTACTCGTGTTATTGTTTTAAAGTTCAATGTTAAGTACCTATTTAAATAAATCTCTAATACATAATATACAATAATAGGTAATAAATCATTTACTTAACATCTATTGTTTTGGCATTTTACCTATGTTATCTTTCAGATAATTTGTACTAGAGCATTAATACTTAATAATTTATTTCATGAATATTGTAGCTGTAGGTATAATGTGTATTGTGGAGTAGTTATATTTTTATATTATCTTTGTGTAACACTTCCGTCAACTTGTACTTATCTCCATCTTACTAATTGGCGCTTTTTATCCACACTACCCTTGATCTCTCTCCTACTCTATTGCAAACCAACATACTTTTTCGTAGCTGATCAATGCTATCAAAATCATTACCGTAAAGTAACAAAAGTTAACTCCCAGACCACTAAGACATCTCACAAGCTCGCAAATTAATTTCAGACACAAAGTGCACTGGTGATACACTATAACTATTACCATACCTGCATGCAAATAGCTTCTAGACATTGTAAAATATGCATACACAAAATACCCTCGTATTAAAAGGACTCAAGACACGCTTTTGCTTGTGAGATCATCAACTAAATTTCAAATGTGACAAAAGCAACACAATGAAAAGGTGTGTCAATGACTCTAGGACGAAGGTTGAAGCGCTTAACACATACAAGAATAAGGGTTGGAACCTGTTAAATAGCAGTAGAATGCAGAAGCTTTTGACACCAATCTTTGCATTTACCAATTTAAACTACATAATACTCAGAAGGTAGGGAACAGATTACACAAGACAAAACACATCGGTGTGGGCATGAAGACCAATTAGTAAAACCACCAAGATACAAATCAAAAAGGTTGGCTAAACACTTAATTTTCATGACATGCTTATTTTATCACTATTCTGTTATACACCCCTAATTTTAAAGATTAGTTTCTTAACGAAAAAAATATTGATTTCCCCAGTTATGGACCTTGAAATGTTTAATTAATGTTATTAATTGAAATATTTACAAAATTATTTAATTTAAAAATACAACAAAAATGATAAGAAAAGATGTCAAGATTATGTACAGTAAGAAGTAAAATGTTTTGTGACGCTTAAGTTTAGGTATGTAAAAATGTAGGTAATATATTTAGCAGCCAAGCGCCAATTTTCAGAAAGCATTTCATTATGCATTAAAATTATCATTAACAAATTGTATTAGAATTGTTTACAGCGTTTCAACTGAGGCAAAATGTACCTAACTAAACAAAGTTCACCTATGTAAAATGGATCTAGCTCTATGCATCTTCAAGCCTTATTCAGTATTGGTATTATTTACTTAAATACAAAAATAAAACCTCCGAAGCCAAATATTTTTCTCATAAGCTGTTACTTTTTATGTGTTCTAAGGATTCCTTGTTAGTAATTAAATGAATGAATTAATAAATTGCTTAAAATGATTCATGTACAAAATCTTGGACCAAATCCGTGACAGATAAAGCATGATAGTGCTGTTCTATAATAAATGTTATTTTACTTAATTATGCATCATAATTGGAACACAATTAGCACACTTTAAATACTATAAACGTTTTAGTTTAATCGATTTCGTTTTCTCTAGCTCATTGATTTAAAGGCATCTGTATTCGTGCAAAATTAAGCCACGCATTAAAAACAAATACAAACAACGTTTCTGTATGTTAGTTAAAAACCATCTCCTACTAAAATATAAATCTAAGATGTTGGATAATATCAACATGCACTAGGAATTGTGGAGGAATTTGTAGTGATTGTATAGCATCAAAATTACATGCCAATTTTGCCTTATTCATACCTGACATTATTTAAAAATCATAATATAACTGGGAAAATAGAGAAAAAAACTCTCTTCGAAGAATTTTTCTAAATGTCGTAAAGAACCTTAAAATGGTCAATCTTCAAAGTGGACGGTAGGGGAGACCGAGGAGAGTTGTGACAATGTAGATTTTTGGAATCCTATTAACAATTTGCGAGAATCTAGTCTTGTTAACAGTAAAATTGATTTTAACTCTTCAGATTTATTTTTAGTACCTACCTAACCTCGTACCTACTGCCTACTTAAATGTTTTACATTTTTGTTTTACCTTTCTCGTAAACGTCGTATGTGCCTTTTTTAACCGTGCATTAACATTCCGTCCATTATTATTAATTGATTTTTATGTCATCAATAAAGATAGTGTTGACAGTGAGAAATATTATTTGTTTACTATCGAAATCATGTTGTCATTGTTCCTGTTTGGTTTAAATAAAACATACTTATAATATCTCTTCAAGGGCACCCCCCTGCATTCACCCACATTCTACATTTCGTCCAATGTCATCAATTTCTTTTGTCATTAGTCATCACTTATTATAAAAAGTAAAAAATATACTTTACACTGCAGTATTCCAAATCATAATAGACATCAAATAGACCGGTCGATTAACGAGAGATTATTTTTGTAACACAAATAATATCTAGGTACCTACTCGTTTTTTCGTAAACGTAAATGACAATATCTTTTTTGCTTTTTTAATATCCCTGTTGTTTTCACATTACGTCCATTATCAATTACTTTTGTATAATCAATAAGAACAATAAATAAATTAAATATTATACTTAATTATCTAAATATAATTGTCTTGTTGGTTGTGCTAAATAAATAAAATAAATATTTTTTTACATAATATTATTCGTAAAAAAAAACAACGTTTACCTCCTAACAACCGTATTTTATAACCTCCGAATTCACATTCCGTCCTAAATTTATTATAAATTCCTTTTATACCATCAGTAAAGATAGTTATTGTGTATATTATTCACCAATTAAAATAATATTATGTACCACATGTTAATGTAAATTATTTTAAACAATCAATTCAACCTTAGAAGTCCATCCGTAGACTCGCATGTTATAAAATATTATATTATTCGCATATTTAAGTTTTATCTACATTATATTTAAGTCAGACTAACATTTTCACACCATAAAATTATAACGTCCAATCAAATGAATGAACGGAATTGATACTCTAAAGTTTATTTCCTCAGTTTTCATCTAAAAAATATAATTGTTAACCACAATCCGTTTATTAATGTATTTTTTACAGAGTTAGAACTCAAAAAAGATCACTCTATTCCTACCTAGGAATCGCTATTTTAAAATTTATTTCCAAATAACCTGTTTATGATTTATGTTCCAACTTAAAGAAAATCTATAACGTAAACCAAAATCCGTGCAATGTTATATTTCTAACACAACGAAGGAGATGATACCTATCCTACCTAGAAAATTCATAGAAATCTTTTATTCAATTATACCTACAGTTAAAAAAGAAGTATTAATACTTCTATTTCTATTCGCCAATTTCAGCTTTACGCATTTTTTTTGTCCTTAAATAAAATTACACATTTTTCTGAACCTGAAAGCTTATTGTATTAAAGTTTAAATTAATGTAATCAATGTTTTTTCCTTTTTTAAGTCTTCTAAATTACTCTTAAAGAACAGAACCGCATAATTAAACTTAGGTATACATACATACAATATATAACATCACACATCCTTAGCACATCCTTAGTGATATTTTCAACAGTTAACTTTTAATTATTTTGCTTATATCTATTTTTACTCGTATTTGAGTTACCTACCTCGAATGAAGGTCTGATTAAAACCATCTATAGAGAACTTTATGACATTTATAAAATAATGTTAATTATTTATTGTAATGTATGTACATTTCATTCACCATTTCTAGTGTTTACGACTTTGACGTCTAATTAAAATCATCCGTAAACTCATGGAGACATTTTATCACAAATTAATAACGTATTAGTTATTTCAACAATTTTAATTTTTAGTCATATTTTGAGTGACGCATCGTTCATATCTAAATCTATCCATAGAGACCTTTTTAATAGAAACAATTTATTTATCATTCGTAATTATAATATCACCATTTCTATATTTTACTTGTATTTAGGTATAATCGTTCACGTCTTAATTAAAACCATCCATAGAGACATTTTTAACAATTATTATTATTTCGCCATTTCTAG